CCTGGCAGGTTCACAAGGTAAACGTTGTAGCTGTTAGCACACGGCTTTCCGGAGGCAAGCAGGGAGGAAGCAAAGATCTGTCTGGAAGCAATTTACACTTTTATTTGTAATGTTCCTTTCAAGGGATTGGGAAAACGAATATTTCAACAAATGAAACATATTTGAGTCTTGGCAAGAAGAAAGTGATAAGTAAACTCAAGTCGGCTTTCTAGGAATAGAGTGCAAAATCATTTATTTATTGCTGCTTTTCATGTCTGTCTTCCAGAGGAAGGCCAGACATGAGGCATAAGCACTCATTCTCACGCCTCAGGGAAAGCCTTCATCCTGAGAGTGTCCTTTGCTGTCTCTCACCATGGTTTGGGCTCATGGTGCTGGGGAAGACAAAAGCCCCATTCCACAGAGATTCTCTGCTCCACGTACCTGTTGAGCCCATGGAAGCCTGTAAGGTATTAAATTAAATGACTTGGTGTTTTCTAGGTACTACATTGAGTCATTCTCTCTCTTAAATGATCCCACCAGGCTGAGAACTTACCATGGGCTGATTCCCATCAGTTCAGTTGGGCTTTCAAAGGCAGATCAGGACCTTCAAAACCTTGCAGAATGTCTCTTAAGTTACTTGTTGAGGTAGCCTTCATATCCTGCCCCTTCTGCCTTCTTTTTGATTCTTGGGACACAACAGTCTTTCCTTTCATTTTCCTAATTAGTCTTAACCTACAATGAGCATCTTGGAGAAAAGTTCTCTGAATCTGTGTTTCCCTGTACAAAATGAGGAATATCATTGTGTTTTCTCACCCTTCCTCTTGGTGGACAAGCAGAGGTTCTTTGAAGAGACACAGCCTCACTCTGTGTGCAACTATGGCTTTTAGCAGCACAGTCTCTCAATGTGGGAAAAATCTCAGAGAGCTTTGATGATACAAAGAATAAATACATTTTAATTTGCTTATTATGGGAATGATGGATGCTATATATAAAATGAATCATATTCACTAATACAAAACAAATCTGACAACCTCAGTGCCATTACCTCGCCAAGTGCTACACCTTAATGTGTCACAGTTACCTTACAAATTACATTATCCTGCCTGTGGAGCCATGTCTCTGCAAAATAAGCAACTGGCTGCGACATCTTTCTGGTTTGGCAGCTTGGTGATAACAATTTAACACAGAGAAGCACATTAACCGAATCCTTGTAGGAATCTGCTCCAAATAAAAGATTATATTTCAGGCAGCCCAATTTTTTCACCCAGAGTTACTGTGCACATAGTCAGTGATTAACAGCCCTCTAGACATGGAGGACAAACTGTTAGGGAAGATGACTTAGGCTGTGCAAAGCTTTCTGTTTGCCTCTTTTGCCTCATTTTTTTTTGTTTCAAATGACTTTGCCCCAGCCTGAACCCAAGATGTCCCTGTGTGATACAGCTTGCTCAACCTTTGACACAATTGCACAATTGATTTAGTTGTTAATCATTTGTTCCTGACAAAAAAACCCCAAAAAACTAACAAAAAAGACCTTTCCATCCATGGGACCTTTGCTGGCTGGGAAATGCAGTGCACATCCAATATTTCAACACCAGAAAAGATTACCAAGATTATAAATACAGAGCACCCTCTAGATTTAACTGCAAACCATGACAGTGATTCCAGCATGTGGAATTCTCAAGGCAACCTGCTTCTGTCTGCTGCTTGTCTTTGTTTTGCTGCCTCTCACCATGCACATCTTAGTGGTGAACACGCAGAAGGAAGTGGTGCATTAGCAGAAGGAAGTGAGCTTAAAACAGCAGCAGGGACACATGAGAAAGAATTTTCTACACATTAACATACTTTTCACAGAGAAATGAAATGCACAATCAAGTTCTATACATAGTTTACAACCTGGTTGAATTAGAGGTAGGTCTAACACATAAAATTCCCAACAACCACAGCTCGTTTTCTGCTTCCTTGGGTCCATGGATCAGTGGGAATGTTGCCCTGTAACAGTGTTGTCTTCCCCCAGTCTTGCTCCTTCTCCGTGGCTGACTGTAATAGCTGTGTCTGTCTGCTGAGCTGTTTGTAAGTCCCAAAGCACTTAGTGCTAACAACACTGTAAGTCACTGAACATCACTTTCATCACAGTTGAAAATGAAGCCTTGCTTATGCCCACTATGAACACCAAGCTTGAAAGTGTAACACATCCTTTGCAGAGTTCATAACCCCAACGTAAGCTTGTGACTCCTTGCTTCCTGTAAACAAAACCTATACAGTTTCACCAAACATCACGTTTTTTTAAAATGGCAGTTTCCTGTTCAAAGAAAAACTGTGAAACACATCAGAGGTGAGAGACCCTCCCTGGGAAAAGTCAGATTGGAGCCAGCAAGCAGCTGTTTACAATACCATTAGTGCACTTCTCCAAGAAAGTTTCTTTTTCTCCTTCTCTGAGACAACTTTTTTATTCCCTGCTTCGAGATTCAGAACACATTTCCTTCTGCAGAAGAACACAACTGGCTCATTCAAAGAGGAGGCTTCCCACCAACTGTAATGGTGAAGAATGTAAGGTGGCAAATAAATGGTAAAATTTATAATAAAGAATGTTTTCGAATGTTTACTACAACTGACTCCATTGCATCACACTTTTTCTTAATAATACAGTTATTTTCTGGTGCTGAGGCTGGTCTCTGAAAGGCCCTGGACATAAAAAACTCACCTTGGTGAGCCTAATTCTCCTCTTCTGGCTTTTGGTTCACTAAAAATAATGCCTCATAGTGACTCAGACCAAATCTGGCACAGGTTCATCTACTCTGAGAGCTCCAAGTCCTGTGAAAATGGTAAGACAGGGAGGAAAGTACACAAAGAAAGATAACCCCAGCATTCCCCATCCCTTGCCTCCATCTCCTCTCCATCAGACCTCAAGGTAACACACACAGAAACTCAAACTAGAAACACCATTTTTAGAAGAAAAAACTAAGACACTCACAATCTGAATATGTCAAATATTACAAAATTTACAAAAAATGCAACGTATCATAGCACTGTAACTTCTGCTCATTTCAAATACAGCTGGCTTCTGCAACTGAGAGCTGTTCTTAGACCTCTAATGACTGTTAAAGACGACAAAGATGCCAGAAAAGGCTTTTTCACAGTTAGTACCTGGCAATAATTCTTCCTAATCCTTTATTTTCACAAATGTCTGAGGCTGAATGGACAATGCTTGCTGCCTGTTAACCTGATTTTCTTTTAATCTATTGTGATTTCCTTTCTTTGTTGGTGAGGAGTATTTATAGAAGTGGTGCTACAGTAGAAATGAAATAGGGCTGAAAAGCCAGCAAATAGTATCAGATCTTAAAAGACCTTTTTTTAAAAAAATACATTCTGTATCTGAGAGCCCCTTGAATGGGCAACATCTGAGGCTATTCTTCTCATTGAGATTTTTCAGGTGCTGATAAAACATTTTAGGGTGATAGATGAGCCACAGGGCAAACACGTCCATTGAGATAAGACTATTTAAAGCTCTAGAAACTAATAGCCAGAGAGTTGTTTCACTAATAGACCTGATATTTCCTGCCTCCAGTAGAATAATTTTAGAAAGAGACAGGCAATGTCACAGGTACTCAGGGAATCCTATCAGGGTATCTCCCCATATTCCTCACTGTCATGCTGAAATGTGTAATTCAGTTTCCCCTCACTTTCAGACAGCAAGAAAAAAACCAACCCTTTATTCTTCCCCATGCCAGCTTTACCTCAGGTATTTAAAAACAACAAAATAAAGGTTTTTAATTGGGTTGATCCTAAAAAGCAAATTAATATGAGAAGACTAACTCATGGAAGACCTCATCACAAGGGAGTCGACAGAAACACTCCTACAAATCATGACTTTTGCAGTAGTAACATCAGAGTATAGCCAGGAAGAGGGGTTGAGTCCCACTGATGGCACATAACAGGAGCAGAAGGAGAAGCCAGGAGCAGTGCCTCCATTTTCTGGTGGTCATGTGGACTTTCACCTTGTTCATTCACCACTGTGTGCATTCCACGCTAGCTTAGAGAGGTAATTGTAGAGAACGGACTCAAACCTCTGCAGAAAACTGCCAACAGATATCTCCTTTCATTTCTTTGACATGATACTCTTCTGACTGAGAAGAGCATTTGCCAGAAGAGTAAAAAATATGAACTTGACAGGAGTTCTTCGGAAAGCAAAGAAAAGAAAAAAGGAGACGTTGCATGAAAAACATATCACAACCTACAAACAGCCAGAAAGAGGTTAACTTCCCTGCTGCAGAAACTGTCACTGACTAGTGATTAAAGCACATAAAACATTGCCTTTAATCCAACGTAAGGGAGTTAAAATTGCATATTCCCAGTCTATACAATCAATTGCTTTCCCAGAAGTCACTGACAGGGAAAAGAGAGATCTGTCAGCGTTCTCACTTCTGTAAAACCGCAGGCTGATTCTGCAAACTGTTTGCTAAATAAATTCTCATTACTGCAGGAGATCATGGCCTTAATTAGCATTAGTTAAATTGGGACCATTTCTTGAACTAGGCACATCTGAGTTGAATACTCTCATATACAATCTACAGACTCCTAGTGTGCTTAAGTTACAGCAATATTAATGTAATACAGCACATAAACACAGCACAGAAAGAATCAAGACTTTTTTCCCCTTCTGAGCAATGCCAACACACAGGCAGGTCCTTCCTACTTCAAGATTCTTCACCATTGCCAGATTATATCTCAAACCTGCTCATTCAGAATTTTTAAACTGAGTTTACATAGCAACAGTGCAACATGAGCCAACTTTTCTGATTTTTCAACCAACTTCACAGTGAGAGTACCAGACAGTATCAACAAGAGTACATTTGGCCTGCATTGCAAAAATGCATTTTCATTGAAATACATGCTTAGCTATGTCTTATTTTACTTTAAGTTGATGTTTTGTAGCTCATCGAGAACCAGATACCATGTTCTTCCTTCAAGGACATCTGAACACAGTTAGCCACATACAAATCAAAATGACATTAATGCTGGTATGCTTTCATCACAACAGAATGACCTTTATTCTTAGGTGGGATCCAAGTATTTCAACAATTTCAACATTGACAAAGGTAATCAATGTTTCAGCATGACCTACTGGGCATTTCTGGTGGATGAGAAAGGGACGAGACATCAAAAAGTAGAAATACAGTAAAGTACATGTGTACACATTCACACCTCTCTTTCTTCCTCTATACAAACATGTATTTCTTACCCTTAAATTTTATTGCATTACCCTCTTGGCAAAGAATGGTACTGTTCCTTCTCAACTGAGAGATCCAGTACTTGGTACCTCTGAATATCAACCATTATTAATTTGCATGTGGAACTGAGAGTTTCACTCCAGCAAACCCTACACATTGCCTCAAGCAGTAGAAAGGTCCCACTGACACAGAAGGTGGTATCATTACCATGAGGTACTGGATCAAGGCTTTGCTCTCAGTTCTGTGCATATTTCTGGAAATTTGGGGGGGAGGGGGTTCTGCTTTCAAAATTGTCATGTTTAAATGCACATTTTTAATTTCAAATCTTACTCGAATGAAAAATGGTGAGCAAAATTAATTTCAGTTTCTCATGACAAAAAGGTACACCAGCTATGGGAGTATCAAACAGTGTGGCCTGTCCCAGGAATGTGTAATTTTGCAAGAGGTGACAAAAATACCTACCAGTTTGGGATACTCACCCTAAAACACCCAAAAAGAGACCAAAAATGTGGAGGCAGCAATTAAAATCAGCAAATTATGTATCTGCAAGATAAGCAACACTTAGTGTTTAAGATTAGTTATTCCCCAAACTGAGGATTTTCTCCTTTCCCAGATACTTCAACTGTCAAACATACTGGCCATGCCAAACAACCAACACCACACTGTAAGAATGGCAGAATTATCCCAGAAGAGCAAAAACTATGAAACAAACTTACTGAAATGACACCTTTTTTTAATGTTTTTATTCATAACAGTATTACATGGTGTGTTACAGAAATTAATGGAAAATTTCTAAAAATTTGTTGGTTTCTTTTGTTGCTGTTGAATGCGTTATACATAAAGTTAAAAATAATGTGTCCGTATATGTTAACAAATGGTCATTATCTGAGGTAAAGTTAAAGTAGGTTTAGAAATGTACTGAAACAGTCATTTTATCTTTCTCATCTTTATTAAAAAAATAAGTGTCAGAATGCAGAAATAAAAATGAATGAAAACCACGGAGTAAACATCTTTGCAAAGAAGGTGCCCAGTACGTTATTAGATGAAAGGTTTCATCAGACACTTGGATGACTACGATCTATCAAAATATTTTTTCATGACAGGTAAAGATCAAGAACCTACAGGGGATGATTACAGGATGGCTGGTGGGATTCCCTGGTTTTTAAATTTAAAGTGACGAATTTAGTGCTAGTGAAGGATGAGGGATTAAACAATTGCACAAGCTGGATATTTCAGTTATCTACAATACTGGTACAGTGTAGAGGCCCTCCAGCCCTCTCGACTCAGCATCTCAACCATGACAAGGACGATCATATGACAAGACAATTCGGAATTGGTTTTTATTTATGAGAGTTGGTAAAGGTAAGACAAAGGTCTGTGGTGATGGTCCAGCCGTCTCTTAGGAGACACTAGAATTCCAGCCTCATTCCCTCGGCACCTATTCGTTAATGATCCGCTTCCTACAAATATGATGTCAATGGATCCTCTGAGACATAAATCTCTTCTTTCAACATTTTACCCCATATCTGGAAATGCACTGACAATACTAAACCTCAAATGTCTATGATGAACCAAAACTGTCTTTGAGGTTCCACATGTAGGACAAAACCCAAAAAAGCCACTGAGGAAGAAAGTAGCACCAATGTGCAAATCATCAAAATATTCTGTACAGAAATGTCCTTTAGAAACACTTTTACCTCCGCTTTTAATCCTGAAACACTCAATCTGCCAAGTTTTAAATATCTTTTCCAGTTAGAAAACTTGATCTTTCTTCAGGTGGGAAAATAAGATTTGCTACAAAGCTGTTTGCACATGACTAAGGAAGAAGCATCAAATGACCGTGAATGAGGATAAAAGTTCTCTTCTCTGCAGGTTCGTTAGGTCTATTCACAGCTAATTTTTCATTCACATAAATTCGGTAACGCACATTTCTCTAATTTCTCTAATTCAAAATAAAAGACTGGAATCATGTTGTGAGATTTTTTTGCACATACCAACAGTTGCCACCCCAGTTATTCTGTCTTCTAAACCATTTTAGCTTATGATAGAGATGAAAGAAAGTAAAACACTCCAGGCCTATTTTAATCATGACAAAAAATGTAAATCCTAATGTGTCAATTAATTGAAAAACAATTTAAAAACAAAATCTGCACAATAACCCTAAAAACTGATTAACCGTTTAATTTCTTTAACCTTTTTTCCTTTTTCTATTTTTCTTTTTTTTTTTTACTATTTTTTCTTCTTTTTTTGTCTTTTTAGTGTTAAACCACTAAATTCAATATACTGTAACTGCATAGGAACATCAGGAAAACACATTTGACCTGTATAACAATTCTCTGTAGGGCAAAAATATATAGATTCTTTATGAAAATCATGTGCTAAACATATGAACCCAAACACTGCACTTTTGCTTCATAAATGTAAAAAAAGGAAGTTTTAAATTCTTTTGTTCTGCGTGTAAACAGTTCGATGACTTCTATGCAGAGGTTCAAAGGAATGTCTATGAAATGTGAGCTCTTGTAAGTGGAATATGTCCGTGTGATAACGCTAGACCATAAAATCATGTGTTCCCATTAATTTTACTAGTCGCTGACAAGCTGACTGCTTTTGGCAAATGCACTTGAGCTTCAGCCCATTATTGTAAGCATGTGAAAAAACATATGTGATGTGAGAACCACAAATTGGGTTTGCCACCCCTCCCAAGCACTGCAACTTGCTACCTTCTCTACTGTGTAATGGCATTAGTAAAAGAATTTTCATAACATTTATATTTACAAAAAACCTGGCAATTTTCATTCGAACTCCTTAAAGCCATTTCCCCTTAAACATTTAAAGAGTTTAACAGTAAGATTTTTTTTTCAAGTTATAAAATAAAAATCCCATTTGATTTTTCTGATGTACAAAAAGTGATAAAGATGAACAATTTGATCACAGAATCAGTTTGTTATTCCAAAATCCATGCCGTCCTTGTCCCATTTGTAAAGTCCGCTTCATCCAAACTCCTAAACCAGAAGCATACCAGTATTATTTGGCAAATGATTTTTTTTCATCAAAAATGGCACACAGAGAAGAAAACACTTGTCTGCATAGCATTACAGCAGCAAGATACTGAAGAAATAAAAATATTCCTTTTCTGTACTTTGTTTAGAGTTTCCTAGGAAATACTGACTCTTTTGTCTTTCCTCAGTGGGACTCCAGGTCCTTTCTCTACCCACAACATGAGTATTCCAACAGAAAGCAGCATTTCTTCCTCATGATGTGCTAGAACTTAAAGGTCCATTTGGCAACATTTCAGTCAGGATGGATAAACAACCGAGTTTCATTCTGTGGTTTCAAGTTGGGAATCGTTTCCGCAGGAGGTGTTTTGCAGTTAGATCTGTCACTCATACAAAACTACAGAATAAGAAATAAAATGAAAAAAAAAAAAAAAAAAGACACTACCAGTATTTTTTGTTGTTGTCATTTCAATATGTCCACATAGGGAAAAAAAAAAGGTCAGGATCAGCCTGATGTAAATGATGATGAAAAAGTTGTCACTGTGACAAAGAAAGTGCCGACTTTTGCCCCAAAGGCTGTTGAATGATAATGCCACTGCTACATACAGACCCTGCTTTTTGCTCAAAAGAAAAAGGAATGTCTATTACTCAATATGTGGCACACAGAAGATAACAAATCTTTAAAAGAAGACCGAGGAGTAAGATTTCCTAGTCTGGATATCCACCACTTGTGGGCACAGGGCTGGACTCGTGGTATGATAAGCAGGGAGAGTTTTTATTTTGTGCTGCCATTGGTTGCCAAAAAAACACATCAGGAACACTCGAAGAGCCAGTCCAGGAGGGCAATCTCTCTCCTTGTCAGACAAAATCAATTGGAAAAAAGCATGAAAGGCAAAGGCCTGCCAGGTTGTTGGGTTTCGTTTGAGTCTTGGAGCACCACAAGCCTGTAACAATGCTATTTCTTAGGTCTGTTAATCTGGGCGTAGAGAGGTTCTGCTTCCTGGGGATAACAAAAATAAAATAAGCGGAGATGTCTCCAGAGAGCATTTTTAGAACATTTTAAGAACATCTGCTTGAGAACAGCAACACCTTGTCAGTCAAAACCCAAAGGAAGTGTTTGCTTTCTGTGCTGCCTTGAGTGATCAGGGCACTCAGGGTAAATTGTGAAGAAAATGAGCCATTATTTCAGAAAATGAATGTTTACTATCAGTTTCCTCTTTCAGCCCTGGCCATGCACTTATTTTCACTGCTGGGCAAAGACATTTGAAGAAATTAAATGATAATTTATCTGACTGGATGTTTGGAAGTTTAGAGGCCAGAAGTGCAGCCAGTGTACAAGGGTGTTACTTGTCCCAGGCTAAGACCACCCTAGCAGCACAACAGCAGAACAAACCTCTGGGTTTTACACAACTCAGGGAGAAAACCACTTGCAAACAGAAACCGCCGCAGAAAGCTGAGCTAATGAAGCTGTGATGGGATTTAAAATAACAACATGAGTTGCCTATGAAGAGCTAGGAACGCTAGCCCAGCTCAGTTTGATTAGGAGTCTGTAGAACTATTAGTACAATCATTAAAGCCAGGAGGAAAGCGTGTCAACTTGTTAACGGATACTTTCTGGGGAATTTCCTGGATGGGGAGGGGGAAAAGCTGCCATGTTCTTCAGCGTTGCTTCATAGCTGACACCCTGTGCTTAATATTATGTTCATGTTGGCTGCAGTGGGAAGCAAATCACCCATGGACCCTGGAATCCATTCTACTTCATTTCCAGAAAGTAATTTATTAAACTAAGAATGACATCTAAAAAAAGAACAAGACAGGCAGAAAGGCTAATTAATGCCATACTGCATTAACTCTCCACAGCTTGATAAATATTCAAATACCACGCCACGACGTTGAATTTAACCAAGTTAGAATCAACCTGTGTTACTGCAGCATTAGCAGGAGCTGACTTTGAGCAAAAAAACCTCTGAAGGCTGCAAATCACTGGGCACTGCAGAGCACAGACACGTCTGCCAGGGGATGGAACAGGATTTTAATCACTGCTTATACAAATGCTGAGGATGAGAAAAACAGCCCAAAGGCGGATTCATAGGACTGTATGTACTCTGTGCCCAGGGTGCCTGGCCACTGTCCTGTCCCAGTGCCCTCTCCTGCTTCACTGTGCAGCTTGTGTTGAATGAGGAGCAACACAACAAATCCAAAATACGACCTGTTTCCTCTGTGCCAAGAAAAGTTGTCCCTCATTCCCTGAAATTACTATATTTCTGTACTGTGCAGGGACCCTGTTTCCCCATCTCCTACCTACATGAAGCCCTGAGTACACTACAAGCATTATGAAAGGATGAGAGAAATCCTCTGGAATAATTAAATAAAGGCTTCAGAAATGATCCCCAGCAAGAAGCAAATATATTTTGTGACCTTGAAAAACCGAAGGTAATCAGAAGAGTTGACTGAGAGTAAATAACTGCATTTTACATACTGTGTGTTAAGTGTACCTGTGCCAATTTTCACGTACCACAGACATGAAGCTGCCAGAATGATCTATCACAGCTAGTTCAGAGAAAATCTGTACTAATTAATGTGTGAACCTGACACACACCAGGCCATTCTTCAGGCAGTTGCTGAACCTGAGGTGATTGCAAAGTGAAGTGAAAAGGAAGGAGGAGAAGAAAAGGAGAGGGAGGGAGAACATCCCTTTGGAACAAAAGATGTCAGTTTTTCAAATGCCTTCAGGGGAAAAAAGAGCTTTTCAAAATGTCAAGCCTGCTTGTTAGAGCTGTCCTCAAATATCCTTGAGATATGCAGATGTGCTTAAGTAACAAGTGTCCTAAGGTGCCACTGAACTTGACACCCTTGGAAGAGGAGGAGGAGCTCATCACCGGTCATCAGCACTTTACACTGTGCACGAGGCAGCCTTTACAATTAGAAACTTCTTTGGTCCATACTCAACATTTATCTGAACATACACTTGATGTGGCAAAGGCCTGCATTTCTCACTGATTTGGATAATTTATCTTCCAGCAGACCAGAGCATTTTGCACGAGAAGTGTGCTCTTATGTCTTCCTTTCAGTTGATTTCCCCCTTCAGATACCTAAATGAGAAATTAATTGCAGTAATTGTGTGCAATCTTCCCAGCCAAAGTTTTTGTGTCAATGTCTGAGATTTGTTTTCTAATATTATTTGGAGCTAATTCAAGCAGCACACCATGCCTGTAGCCCAACACTGCAAATGGTATCTGTAAAGTATTGACACTGGTACTCAAGAGGGCAAAAGACAGCAGAAAGGGACAGAAAAGAGGCAAAAGGAGAGTTGAGTGCTGTAGACTTCATGAGTAGCTTCTCTCACAGTGCTAGGCACTGTTCTGGAGGGTCTTGAAAGCAGAAATAAACACCCCTTTTGTAATACTCCATGCAAAAGTCTCAGGGCTTGTTATGAAAAGGCAGGTGAGCATAACTCTTCTCACAGCATCAGAACCATCTCAGCAATGCTTTCTGCTTTCTACCTCTACCACTGCATTAGGAACAGACTCAGAGGGAAGGAAAGGAAAGAACTGGTCTTTGTCAGAACAAAAATAGATAAACAAATAATATAGTAAACAAAGCTTCTAATTCACATACACCCCTTGAATCTGAGTGTTTTCCTTTCTGAACTGGCCGAGAAGCACTTCTGATGTGCTTTCATCAGTCTACAGGGAGAAACCAAGATGGCAACTGGAAGCACCCTTTTTTTTTTGCTGCTATATTCTAGAGATAGTTCATGCTGCAAATCAGTTTACTCTTATTTTAAGGGGTACAAGACTGCAGCAAACTGTAAGTATTTCTGGTGCAGCACACTACTGCATGAGGCAACAAGGTCGCTAATGCTTTTGAATAACATTATGTAAATACTAGAAGTAAATTTGCATCCAATTTAAAGATATTAACATCTGCTCCCCAGCAGAACTAATCACTGGAGAACATCTCCTGAAAGACTCTGAACCTACTTAGGCTTGCAGAGGTGAACTCACTCACAAAACATAACACGGGACTGGGTTAGGAAGAGACTATTTTTACCCTGGCAGCCCTTTCATCACTTTGAGACACCCTGCTACGTGCAGAGCTTCAGGCAAGATGTACTCAATTGAAGAGGTGAGGCCCGCATAGATTTCCTTGCCCTTTACAACAGATTCTCAGTGCCAGTTTTACTCCTGGCTGACTGATCAGAAAGGGCAGGCTCAAATGATAAGAGTTTCATGAAATAAGAGTGCTGGAGAGCCAGACAAAATGAGCATCTTGTGCTGGGGTTGCAAGTGAAAGGGGTGGGAGTGTGACGCGTCTTCACTGTTTATTGCATGCTGACTCAGCAAAATAGGACATAGTAAAGTTGCCAAGCAGGGTTCAAATTAAAGATCTTTGGTGATAAGACAGGTCATTCCTATTGGCCCATTAACAGCCAGGTTTTATTTAACACTTATTATTAATTATTAATTTTTAATATTTAGGGGTTTTCTTACAGTTAAACTCTATTAGCAGCATAAATATACCAACCTTCTAGTTTAAGATTATGACTGGAGAATGCCTCTATTCTTATTACAAACCTACCTAGGAATATTTCCTAGTTTCAAATATCCAGTTTAATTATTATAATTTTAAAAGTTTCTGTCATTTTAGTGTCAAAATGGATGCTGGACATCCACAAAATGAAAAAGCAATGAGAACTACTCAGAAATATGAACCTGCTCCATTTCAGTCCCAGTATAAAACTGAACTGCAGCCATGAAACGTGCTGATTATTTCTGGGCTACTTTCCTAACAAAACAGTAGCCACACAATTATACTTGCCATCTACATATCTGCCAATTCTTCTTCGTAACTTTTGAACCTAGTGGCCTATTCCAATTTTTCAGAAGTCTCAAAGATACTAAACTATTACAACTAGATTTTTAAAATCAGTTGTGCAGAAGACAGGGAACTTTTAAATGACCTCATCACAGATAAAGTGAGGAGAGCTCATCCCCAAATTGAACTACTGGGATGCCAGTCAGCAAGAACATGGCTCTACACAAGCTACACAGTGTGTTTTCTCTTTTTGGAGGAAAAAGCTGGAGGAATGGAAGGGGACTTGGCTACTTTAGGTGGGTATGATAACACTGGAAGAAGTGAGAAGACTGTGTGTAAGCTGGTCACATGAAAACTAACAGTTTGGAGGGGATTGTAGCAGTGGAGATGGAGGTAAATCTGTAGGACGCCCCTGTTCACAAATCTGCCTCAATTTCTCTGCTCGTGGCCCTTCAGATTCCCTGGGAAATACGATGATGAACAAGCAAGTATGAGAGTTGAAATGTCAATTTTAGAATTTCTCTGGAATGAAACAATACTTCCCAAACTGTGATCCCTTTCCAAAGACACAACACTACTTCTCTTAGGAGCACAGCCCTGCTCAGTGCTGTGTCTTCAGTTTGAGAATGACAGTTCTAGAGCCTACCAAGAACAGGCCACCTATAATCATTATGAATTTCTCATTGGACTCTATACAGTTCCTACTGAGCCAGGTGAATGATAGGAAGAGGTCCTGCAAATACAGTCTTTGATGCTGAGCCCATTCCGAATCCTGGTGCAATAGAAAAGGGGCAGAAGGAAGAGGAGGATGAAAATTCAGCTTGATATGCCCTCCTGAAGATCACTAAGCTCCCAGATAAGCCAGTGCTTTGTCCATAATTTTCTGTTTTCTCTCAACTTCCTAAAAACAGCCCAAACAAAGAGTTATAGCAGCCCATCCTGGAGCTGACTAAGATTATTAGGAACATTTATCACTAAGAATGGCACTTGATCATAGATGGATGATGGCAGCAGGCCACTGAAGTACCACCAAAAGCTGATAGACAAATATTCTAATGAACTGTTGCTCTCCTGACAGTGCTGATAGCATTGTGAAGGGTGTGACATATTTGAGGGCTTATAATTGTCTGCACACATTTCACAGAACAACTAAACAATTTTTTCAGGAAGATATGCTTTAGCCACAAATGTTTTGAAGGTTTCTTGAGAATCTCTCATGAATGATTGCCAATGCAAGTTTTGAACTGGGCAGCATCTCAATAGAGCTGCATTTGTTCCTCTGTTCAAACGTCTTGCTTTAATGTAAAATGTCAATAATAAGAAATGTTTAACAAATTTGGCAGAATTGCAGCTAAAACCAGATCTTTCCCTCTCTATCCTTTCATCATAGTTATCCCACACACAGTCTAGAGACAACAGTAGGGATAAAACATAAATCAGCTGAAGATGGCGGTCATCTGATTCAGAGTTCTCTTCATCCCTTCTGGAAAAACACTGTCCATCTTCAATGCGGTGCATGAACAAAGAGAAAACAACCAAATACAAATCTTGCTATAAACAGTCCCCAAAAGAGTTGATCTTATTTCACCTGTGAAAGTTAGGCCTCTCTGCTTCTTATCTTCAACCATAAAGGGACAAAATGTAATATACCCATAAAGTGTCACATATACCTACTAAGAACTCATAGGTATTTGTGGAAGAGTGACTTATAGAACAGCTACTGGTAGGATGAGGATTTTGAGAGCTGAAGTTGAAGATTGCAAAAGTAAGAGAGGAAAAATAGAAGAAAAGAAGATATAGTAACTAAATGGTAATATAAAGTCTCAGAAGGAATCAAGAAATCAAATTGCTGTGGTACCTTGAAAGACCAGGGTGCAAAAAGCTAGGCAAGTGAGTATTCTGAGTACATCAAGGTAAGTAAAGATATTGTATGGGCTGATTTCAGAGATGCTGGGAACAGATGTATTTGAAATTTCGGCACACAATACTATGCTGAGCTCTTGAGAGGTCCATTCAGCCAAGTTGTTACTGTGCTGTTCCTGGGGTAAGAACCATGTTCCAGAGAGCAAAGTAATCTCCTATCTAAGCCACAAAAGTGGCTTTTATGCAGACTGTGATTCTTTTGTACTACATATTTCTCCCCATTAAATTTCTCTCCAAATGCAGAGCTCAATACACAACTCAGTAGTAAGTCCTGAATTGATAATTTTCCATGGAGATTAGACTTCCCATTGCTCTGATGATACCAGGCTTCAGAATTCGATGGGCTGGCTTTAGCAAGTGGATTTCCTACAGACTGCTGCTGAATGGCTCTGCACAGAGCCACAATGATATTAGTGTAACTTCACTGGATAGGGGCTTCCTTTTTGTTCAGCTTCCTGTTCCTGCCTACAGCTTCTAGGAATTACTGTAATACGATAATCAGTAACATTATTTAACATTTCCCAGAATATATTTCTGAGAATTATACATATTTGATGCAAGACTCTACAGGGATTAACAAAAAAATACATAAAAACCATATGGAATCACTGCTAATATACTGTTGTTGCAGCTCCCAGATACTCTTGATGGGTAAAAAAATGTATTTTACTATGTGTTACATAAAAGCAGAACAAGAGCAGTCCCTCACTTGACTTCCTTACATGGTTAAGATGCATTACCAGACTGAAACTACTGTTTCAAGTTCTATCCAGAATGCCTGGTAGGTAAATCTCTGTGATGGTAGTTTAGCAATGATTTTAACTATATCTGTGACAGTCAGAAAATTAGAGATTTTATCATTACTTTCCCCAGGATGAATTTCAGAATTACCCTGAGTATGATAAACCATAATAAACAAATGTATGTGGATTTCCAGAGTGTAGGACTCGGATAAAAGTCAAATCCTCTTTCTTGACCTAGGAAAGAACTCTTGGAGTGGTCTGAAGCTGGAAGAGCTGGGGATGTCAGCCTTGGCCAAGGTCAGGCAAAGGTACAGCCAAATTATTATGTGGCACCATCCATCTGCAGAAGCAGCTCTCACTGGAGTAAATATCAAATGCTCTTGCTAGAGCAGCTCATCCCAGCTTGACTCCATCCTTACACTGTCATTTTTAGACTCAGTGAGACACAAAGCTTAATGCTACTTTTGCTTCAGCCCTCCAAGAGCTGAGCATTACACTGGTGAAGCTAAAGAAGGGGGAGATGCCTTCTCACAGCACCGCATATTATTAAGAGATAATCTTATTATTCCCAAGTGGATCAAAGCTAAGTCACTCTAAGATTTTTTAAAATCATATTTAATGACAAAGTAAACTGACTCTGAATGAAACTATTAATTTTGAGTTGAAACGAAATTACTTTGTCTCAGGATGGGTAAGTCACTAGTAAACCTAGTGTAGTTTCTGTACAAAAATGGAAAAGGTTCTACCACTGTTGTTGATTTGCTCCAAGAGCTCTGTGCTGGATCACAGAAGTCGTATCAGATCACATATCTGGGCAATACTGAACATGAATGGCAGATGGGGAAAAGACAAGGAAACATATCCTTAAAATAGCAACACTAGAGAGTCTTTGGATGGAACAACAATGCTTAGTACTCATAAAACTTTGTAGCTTCACTGTCTTTTTGGCAAAACATATTTACTGTATTGAAACAAATCACAGAACACTCACTGGGAGCCACATTTTCTACCATTTTCTGTAACACGAAAGATGAAAAGATCATCTTTCCCGTCTGTCTGAATTTAAATGACTTACATTGATGAATAATTTTTAAAACATCAGTATACCAATGTTAATATGAATGATCATAATTTTCTAATGTTTTTAATTTGCAGTCAGAGATAAAAATACACAAACCCATTTCAATATTTTTTACATGCAGATAATAAACGTGCTTCTTCTACTGATTATTGCATTGATTTAGGGTAGAGACATTCATGTATCATTATATAATTTTATTTAATGATTGTTATGTCTATGGGTAAGATGTCTTATTCCATTTAATACGTTACATCTGGCTGAAGGCCAGAGAGGATTTGATTAAAAAAATGCTCTGCCTAATACATTGTTAGTAATGGCTCAGTTTCCCTATTTGCCCTTAAAATTTGAACACAAAGTAAAATAAGTCTACATTTCTTTAAAGCATGCAGGCAGCTGAAACACACATATTTGCATAAGCTGCAACACTTAGTGAATGGCAAAAGCCATGCAAACCACCAAGCATGAGAAATACACTGTGGATGATGGAGAAGTCAAACGGAAGAGATGAAAAGGAAAAATAAACCATGCATCCATGAAAGCAATGGTAGGCACTGGTGGGAGAATAAGTGAACACCTCAAGGTGTAGAGAAAAAAAGGACAGATACCTACCCCAACCTGTGCTATCTAGCTACCGACCTGTGGACTTATAGTATCACCAGTTGGCTCACCAAATGGATCACTTGTGGAGGAGGCCTGAGACCCATCAGGCTAGAATACAAGAACATAACACCTTTTTTTCTCAACAGTAGAAAGTGAAAAGTCAACACGAGGTTATTTTCATGCTGTGGGCATAACAAGTACATCCTATCTCATGAAAACCAGGAAGTGAGACCTCACCCCTGATATGTTCTCAAAAGTCATAATGGTTTACTGCAGTTGATGCAGCCAGGAAAGGACCTCACCAGTTCCTGCTGGAGCCCAGGCAGGAGCTGCCACAGACCTCAGAAGGTACTGGATCAGGCAAACCAGAACGGCAAAAGGCCCTGAAAGCCAGTGAAACCATGCAAATCAGAAAGAGTCCAAGCTTGCATTATTTTGTACCTTTGGGTCCTTTAGTTGTACAGACTCCCTCTTGCCTTTGGCTCACTCGGGCTCTTATCTCCCTAGGACACCTTGTGACTTACAGTCATTGCTTGGATAACATTTCTTACTTTGGTCCATAAAGGCAAAGAAATCACATATTGAGGGCCAGAACACTGAGGAATGTAACTAGGCAAGCAACTGGGATGCAAGAATGTGCAAGACAACATCAACCATCATCTTTTAACACACAAACTCTCATATCTTTCTTTGCAGCCTCGTCATGTTTGTTGTTTTACCCCAGACTTCCTTACTAAGTGAATGAGTAAGTGAATGCTGGTATGCTAAAAAGGGGATTAGATACAACTAACATATACAACCTTACATATGACCTCTGAGTTTGGTTCCTTGTATGCAATATTAGTGCATATCAATGGAAAAGCCATGCTACCAGCTATCAAACCCAAAGCAGGACGTGAATTCTGTCTGCAGCCCCTCCTTAAGTACCACCCAGCCCTGTTGGAATAGTTACTTCTGACACTACAAAACAGCATTTAATTAACTTATGTCTTTTCTAGGTAAAAAAGGACAATAAGGATTTAGAAACCTTGTTGCTACTCACAGCCTCTGGCTCCTCACTTTTGCTTGGGCTTTCAAACCCCTCTTCAAAGAGGTCATCTGCAGCAGGATCACTGGTATGAGATGCTGATGATTTTGATGGAGAACTCTGTCTGGGTGCAGGGGTTGGAGCTAAACGAAGTTAAGGTAACAGCAACAGAATATATTCTGTTAATTTCTTCAGAAAGACACAGCAGCACAGAATTTGCTCATGCTTTATAACCCTCAACTTTATTACTCTCAAAAATTATTTTCTGATAAGGAGCTGTACGAGGTAAATTTGAATACAGCAGTCATTATCAATTCCATGTATTTGATTTCATTTGGCAACTTCCAAATTAAGTTTGGCTACATCTGGCCTATGTCTTTAGGAGCCAGGGAGATGCCACTACATTACATTAAGAATCTGTGAGTTGCCTGCCCTGTGGTAGGTAAGTGAACCAGAAGGTCTCCATCTGACTCCTGGTAAATCTGTCTCATGAATTCCTCTGTTCAGCAATCTGCAAAATCCCCCATCTCCATGCTACAAACAATAACCTTATTTTACAGCTCTTCAATGAATTTCCCCACATGTCCAGTACATCAAGCTATTAAAATAAATATCCATCCCCCAATTTCTGCAAAGTATGGCTTGGATAGGACATAAGTGAAACCATTTGTAAGGTTGAATGTCATGGGCATTTGCCAACCAGTTTGCATGGCCCTACCACAAAACATATATTACTATCTTAGAAATTAAATTTCAGACTACAGCTGTCTGGGCTGTTGATTTTTGTGGTCTCTGAAATTCGTCTCTGATATTTTCCTTTATGGTTGGAACACATTTAATAAGCTGGACATGCATGGAGGTTCTCAGTTTATATCTGTGTTGGAATTTACTATATGAAAAACAGAAATAAGTATTTTGAGGAATGGTCACATCTGAGGAAAGGTATGGCTGAAAGCATAGGAATACTCACGTGAATTTGTAGATGGTGTTGTGGAAGTCACAGGAGTCAAATTTAACTGAGAGATGTCAAAGTCATCACAATCATCTGCTTCCTGTGCCATCCCAACTTTATTAAAGTAACTTGAGAAGGCCTCTGAGGTACAACTGAGGGAAGGCTGATCTGGTTTTCTTGATGGCACTGGTGGAGGCTGAGCCATCTGGAAATCTTTAAACATTTCTTTTCCCATTTTCTGTCTGGGCCTGTCTGTCTGTGGACTCGATCTGTTGGAATCACTTGTGGGTGGAACAGTAGCTATAGGAGCAATGGTACCTTGAAACATGGCTGCTTGTAAAGGCAAAACAGTTTGTGTTGGCATGAAGGCAGTTGGTTGGAACTGACCAGCTACAGATGGCCACGGCTGCTGAGTAGGAGGAAAAATACCGGGCTGGCCCCACGCTATCGGCTGTCCTCCCTGCATCACCTGAGCAACTGGAGGCTGAGCACCCATGGCCAACTGCTGTTGAACAAGTGGTTGCTGTCCCCAGAACGAGGGCAGAACAGCTCCCATGGCAACATAACCTTCAAGGAATAAAGAAAGCAGGAGGGGGAAAAAATTAGATGAAAGACTTTAATGCCACTATCAACAGCACAGAGAAAAAGCTACACAATAAATCAGAGAAGTGCAAGCTACATTAGTGATCCCAGAGCTTCAGCACACTTGAAAAGAAAACTGAAAGACATGGTTGGATTCACATCACTGAGCAAATACTCATACACAGAACCACGGGCTGGTGGGTATTGGCACTAATCCTTCCTCTCATCTGAACAAAAACCTCTCCTCTTCTTCCTCAGTGAGCATCCCCTGGGCCTGTGAAGACCTGTGTGCATGGACCTGGTCAGCAGCTGGGCACTGGGCAGCCCGCTTCCCTAGTGCTCTGTCACAGCAGGACCACTCACCAGAACCACAGCAGCTCCCAAAACACTTCCTAAACTCACCCCCTTCCAGCACAACCCTCCTCCACACCACTGAGTTCTGCAGGCTCCTCTTGCACCTCTGACTGCCCCACCCTCTGCCCGTCGCCTCTGCCTGTCCTTGGAGAAGGAGCTCTGGGACTGAACATGATGCACAGGGTCAGGCTGGGATGGAGTTCAGCTCTCAAGAGCAGCCCATATGCTGCTAAAAAATAAGCAGCCAGAGCAAGCAGAGGGAAGGAGGAGGATGCTCAGGATTCCCTCCTGTCTGCTGCAGTTCCTCATCCTTTTCACTTTTATTCTTTGTTGGGGAGAGGGACCCACTAACACCAGTCAACTCCTGCCAATGGCACAGGTGCCAAACTGGTTCTAAGGGACAGGGAAGCACCTCTATATATGTTATATGACAGCTCAAGGGCTCTCTAATGACAGTGTGACCTTCTTGCAAGGGAATGACTCTTCTGACACAGTTACAGTTCAAACCATTTGGGTTCCGAAAAGCAAAGGAAATGTCTCAACTTGCATAATAATAATAATAAAAAAAAAGAGCCCAGATGAATTCCAATTAAAAACCCTCACACGTGGTTATTACCCAATTACTTGAGAACATCAAAAACACCTTGAGCTTCCGCTGCACTAAATACCTAATAACAACAAACTGCTCCAGGTATTAGGCTAGCATAACATCCCTCTTGTTGGGGAGAAAATTAAAGATTAAAACTAAAATTATAATTGCTTCCTGTCAGACCTGAAGCCTCCTTTCAAGCTACCAAGAGGCTGACTGTGTAGGAATTATATCATCAGGTGCGTTTTTATTTACAACTACAACTAAAACTACTATAAAAAATCTTACAAATAAAATCACCTAATATAATTATGTTCCACTAATAGAAGTACTGTGCTTTACAGATACACTGTTTCACATTTAAATTAATTATTGACTGCTAATAATTTGCAATATGTAACTTCTCTTTCATCTTTAATAGCTTTAAAACTCTTGTTTCTAATCTGAGTGTTTCCTGAGTCCTCCTGTACCTTTTCCTCTTTGCTGTATTTCTAGGCTGTTTTGTAATCCTAAATATAAGGGTTGCTGAAATATTGTAAAGGGAAAAGCCCAAAATAAAATAAAAAAATAGAAACTGAACTTTGAAAGACGAAATTACTGAGTGATGAAAGGAGCAGTAGCTCAGATATATTTCTTTTTCAATAGATGTCCATGATGGATTTTCCAGATGTCTTTTTATCTCGCCCCTGCTGTAACCTCATCCCAGCAGTGAGAGTTTTCATCTGACATTATCCCCAAACACTTCACCATCACTGTAACCTTTCTGAGATCTGATGCCATCAGAGAAGGAGTTAACCAATTAGAAAGCTACTACTCAATGATTCAAACCACTCCTGCTCCTCCTTTCTTTTCCTAAGTGGAGCTGAGAGTGCTGCTCTCGCAACATATCCCAGGGAGAGATCAGCAGTCAAACCACACACCTCTCAATCTGTGCAGAATGCTACACAGCTCTGGAATCCTGAGCACTTTGGGGACACACAGACAAGTCTAAAGGACATCTCAGGACTTGACAAAGTGGAACAGCTTTGAAGTGCAATCAAATTCTCTGTGTCTCAGCCTCTATTTACAGGAGGCAGCAGAGGATACTCACCACTTCCACAAAAAAACCAAAGCTAAACAAAACAGTTTTTTCTCTCTTGCTACTGTACCTAGAAGGTATGTTATCCAGATGGCTGAACTATGCCTGAACTCCAAGTGACTTTTTTGGGTTTTGCTTTAAAAAATGTGGGCAAATTCAAACTAACGTACTCCCTGCTTATTAAAGACTTGCTTTGCCTTGCCCTGGAGCACCGACCTCAAAAGCCTTCCTCACTTCCACTGTGCTAAATTAATGCCCCAAGTACTGAAATGCAAACCAGAGCTAAGAACTGATCACCAAATCTGAATCAAGCCCGTAATTCCAGTACATTTCTTACCTGAGGGTACGGCAGCAGTGCTGAAAGGTACAGAACCAAACATGTCTGTACTAGCAGGAAGCGACTGGGATGAAGATGGGATAAAGGCATCACCTGGAGTAGCAGGAGTCTGCAGGAAGAAAGGAATAAAATCCAAGGGTGACATATGAGCTGCAGCTTCTGCTGCACATACTTTCTGGCCACATCATCCGTAACTCTAAAAATCCGGGTTTGGAGTAAAGAAAGAGGATCAAGAAAGAATGGAAAGATGTCAAAGGAAAGAAGCAATAGAAATAAGAGTATTAGAATTTGCTGGTGACAGGATTAAAAGAAAGAAAAGGAGAGACTTTCTATTAGAAGAGAAAAATCAAAATGAAATTTGCTTGGAATATATCACATGCAAAACATTGATATAATGTCCTTTTCCAGAACATACAGACTTGTGATTCTAGATATTAGGGGACAATCAGGAGAGGCAGTGACCAAGGCATTAATGTAAGAAACAGTTAAGGTAAAAGAAGATTCTGCAGGAAAAGTGAATAAATAATGCTTCTAATTAACCAACAGGACCAGAAACATAGGTCTACACTAAAAGAGAAGCCCTAGTGCCAGATATGCTCCTGAATACCTTGGAGATTTGAGGCTCTTGACCTCACACCTCCTTAATTTTCTCAATACCTTTATACTTCTCTACAGCTTAATGTAAGGCTCAAAAGCTTTACAGAAAAATTATTGTATTTTCATTTTATCATGCAGAAAAGCACGTTAACAAAATTTTCATTGCCCTCAAAACACATTCAGCCCTTTCTCTCTCTCTCTTTACTGTTTCATCTTCTGTCCTTTAACAGCAGTTCTGGGATATGTGCTTGGTGGAACCAGAGACATGATGTATGAGGCTGTAACTGGATCTTCCTGCAGTGCAGTGGAGAGACAGAGTGCAGTGAAGCATGTCCCGCTGATAAACATCAGGGGAACAGATCTGCAGCTCAGGTTGTATCATATGTGACACTGAATGCTATAGTGGAACAATAAAAATCGAAGATATTTTTGCCCATCATCATGAAGCAGGGACTCTGCATTCAATTTGTTTTATTTTTATTTTCTTGTAACATAAAAGCTAGCTTGAAATTCTCCCCACTGGAATGGCTGATGACCCGAATTGTAAACGTGCTCAATAAATGTTCTGAAAATAGCACGTAAAATAAAGCACAGTTCAGTTTCCCTGAGTACTCACTGGGGGAGAGGTTACATCAGGAGGAGTGGACATGTCCCCAAAAAGCTCTAGTTGGGTAACAGCCTGTGAAGAGAAAAAAATAAAATAAAATTCCGTTTATCTTTTGAGGAGAAGAAACTGCAAGTTAAGTAGTTACAGTAAGGAAAGTTATCTGATAACAGCAAACAATATAAATCCCCCCAAAGCCATATAGGCTTCAAATGCCAAGTCCCATATGGAAGAAGCACATGGGTTCGAGATGTGGCATTTTGATACTGTTGATGGACCCAAAAAGCCAACAACCGACTCTATAAAACAATTCTGTAGGGAACTGTCCAAAATGAAAAAAAATGAATAAAGCACGAAAAAACTATCCAGAACAGTACTGGAAGCATTACTGCTCTGCCTTTAACATCAGTGAGCACCAAGCATGATTTATGGCCAGTCCTTTTCCCTGGCTCCTTTTTTAAACACCCATTTCAAGGTCTTAAAACATGGCAGTGGAGTGTGGAGTGACAGAATGATACAGAAGGGAAGGGCTTTTAAAATGCTGACTGATTTCTCTTTGCCCATGGGACAGGTGTGACCTGGATAAGTGGACTTGAAGGAGGATGCACAAATGGGTTACTGCAAGTTTTTTGCTCTACATTTAATTCGTGTTAGAAATATTTTCTCAGGACGTCCTTCAGTTTGAGCTCGAAACAGGTCACCCATATAGACCTCACTAACTGGACCAGGAGAGAAAAAGCACTTTCATACAAAGAAACACCTTGAGTGGCTGCATAATCAAAGCTCCTTCACATGTTCTCAAGTAAAATTACTCCCACCCATCTGCAAATCAGTTCAGCTGGAGTTCAGGGATGTTAAAGCACAGATCCCTTAGAACTCTGCAGGAAACCTAAACCCCATCTACCGTCCTTATCAGGGTGGCTATATTGGAAAGCTTTGACGGGAACACAGAACTACTCCTCTACTACCTTTCTTACTGGTTTTCCCTGTATCATACTCAATCCCACCTACATATGTGGGAAGGCACAATTCTCATTATGAATGAGATTTAATGCAAATCTTGATTCATCTCATTGAATCTCCTCCCCAGCTTAGTCACATAAACATTGCAACCTCCAATCACATGTACAGGTTTGAAATCCAGTTGAGTCTTGACCTGCAAAGACAGCCCCTCTCAGTGCTCAGGACATTAACCAAACTGGCTGGTCAGGCTTTACAACCTACCAAAGGAGAAAATCACCCCAAGACTTTTTCCTGCCCTCAACTTTCCATTACAAATGATCCCTTAAGGAATAAGACTACACATATCATAAGTCTATCCAGTTTTTCAATCCAATCTCTATTACCACATACAAAGACAATGCTACAATCACTTAAGCATGAAGTTTGTCTAGCAGCTCAGACGATTCTCAGCTTCATGACAATGATGTACCTAGGGATGAATGACCTCACATTTCCTCACATCATGTCTTATATTAAATAGATCACATCGCTCTAGTGCTATGAAAATGGAATTTCTTCTTAAGGGTTTATCTATTCCTCTAAGTATCTGCATGGAAATGGAGAAGGGAAAAATAAGAAAATCCATGTTTTCTATGGGGTGCACCAATTCTAGTTCACATTACTGAAATACTGCCAGAAAGCTTCTGCAAAAAAAAAACCCAACCAACAAAAACTAGCATGTGAGTCACTTCTGCAGTGTGCACAAGCACACTAGGCAGGGGTTGTTAAAATGCTCAGAAAAGTGGGAATGACAACAACAGCACTTGTTTGGAAATCACTTCAAGCCTCCCGTAGGCTCTACTGACTCAAGAGATGGCAGGTGACACTGAAGCACTCAGAGAGCCACTTTCTTCTCATCTCTCCAAACTGCTTGTTTAGCATCACTCCTAAACCTGCTCTTTTCCTGCATCACTAGTGAACTATTCACTGTTTGCTCCTTGCTGGCTTGCTAAGGAATAGCTTGTGTCTTTTTGAGGAGACCATGAGCAAAGGTTCCCAATGTGCTCCCATCCTACGTGAGAGAACAGATGAGCAAGACAGAGAGGATGTGAAAGGGCAGGATACACACAATCGTACAGTTGTGTGTAGAGTTACACATTTTCTGTGGAAAAAAATATTATACGTTTCATAGGAATACTGAAAATTGATAGTCAGTATACTTCTGAACTCAGGATTATATGACATGCATTTGAAAGGTGGTAACTCAGATCTCTGTGCCTCCATACTCCTGTATAATGGGAATAATAATAATACTTTTCAGAGTGCTTCAAGGTGATGGATCTTAGGAAACTCTTCGCAGATATAATTCTGTTAAAGCTCTTAAGGGAAACTCTGCAGATGGATTTCTAAACAGGCAGCTGGAGAAAGTGATAGGAAAGCCGACATCACTGTTTGTTATAATAAACCCTCATTCACAATATTCCCCGGTAAAAAGAAATTTACAGGGTAAATATTTCTTACCGAATAGCAACTTCAAATGCAACAGGAGCTACAGAACTACATCAGACAATGTAAACAAATTTAGTGGGAACACAGCTTATTAATTCACTGACTAGAGGCAGCTTTAAACAGCAACACTTGGAGGTGCATTTTAAAGTCCCAAATGGTTCAGATCTGTAGTAATTTTTCTACAACTCAGTTCTCAGCCTGAATAAATGAATGCATTTTCTCTGACACAGACTTAGGTTTATCTACTTGCAGCACATGAGATTCTGGACACCAAACAGTCATCTTTTATTTTTGTGATTTCACTGTCACTACAGAACTGATTTCACCCATTATGCTTCATTAAATTATTCACATCTGATATTAGCTACGTTCCAGTGAAGTTAATCCCAAGCTGAACATTTTCCAATATCGCTATTCCTATAGGTGATTTCATCTATATTTCCTTAAAACATTTTTAGAGTCACAACCTTACCTGAGTGACTGAAACAAGATTTTCATCAATGTCCAGCAATAAGTTTCCATTCTCCAGCTGTAAAGCATGATTTATGAAATGAGATGAATGATTTATGAAAATGACATGAATTTCTGAGCATGAAAATGATAACCTCCATAATTATTGACTTGAGCATTGAAATGAAAACCCTTTCCATCTTGCTGTGAGCACAGATATGAAATCAGGCAGTCAAAACAGGGAGTTTGAATGCTGCTGGGATGTGGAGGAAACATACACTATTTGTGCTAAATCTCATCTTCTGGTGTATAAAGCAATTTTACCACTTGCAACATAACTATTCATTTTCCCTAATATTTATTAAATCAGCAATAAGCATACTCAGTGAGCTCTGATCCTGCTTACATTAATGGAACTTTTCACTGGCTTGGTGAAAGAAAAGACTTAGCATCCTCAGGGAATAAAGGAATAATTGAGTTTTGAACAACAAAAGCTCTTAAAGGCAAGTATTTGCAGGAAAAAACATGTCTTCCTCTTAACTAGGAGAACTGTAACACATCAAAGATAAATATTTTCTTTCCAATTTCTAAAATTACATAATTCAAGTTATATTTAAATCTACAGTTTGTGTGTGTGTTGGGAGTATACTGCCCTCAGACACAAATATATCTGTATCCATCCACATATTTAACACATATTATCACTTCAATGTCCTCAGAATGCTAAATTTCAGGTAACATTTATTGTACTGTTGAAGACTTTATTTCTGAAGAAACAAACATAACAGCAAGCTATCAAAAGTCAAATCTTAGGTAACTGGGAAGCTTCATACAAGTTACCAGCCAGTAATCCCACGCCAGTTTAAAAATCTCAGAAATAACCTAGAATGCTCCCTCCCCCCCCCCCATGGCATCACAGACCTGAAGAAAAAAGAAAAAAAGACTGGGAAAAGGCAAAGCAAAGCAAAGGTAAAGCCAAAGAAAGATAATGTCATTGTGCACAATCATGTATGGACTCAGTCCTGTACCTTCTTGGCGTGTTCCCCCAGCCCCAGATAAGGAAAATGTGATAAAAGCTCTGTCAGTTTATTCAAAGACCACAGACCTTCAAAATATTCTTTATATGACACCAGAAGGGTTTACACCTTCAGGAGGGCCCGGTTTTGGCCAGTAGTTAATCACTTTTTGCTCTGACAGCCCCCCTCATTTGACTCCCATCCTCCAGCACCAGTGATGCAGCTCCAGCCGCACAGATCGCTCTGTGAAACCAGCTGAAGGATAAACACATCTGACCATGGAGGGAACACGTGCATGGTGTTCCACGGCCCACTAGAAATTCCCCCCAGTACTACAGTAGGACCTCGCAGAGAATATTTGCCCAACATGTCACGGTGCATCCCTGAGTGCCCAATTATCATGGAGCACTTGAGCCACATCTTCCACTAGCTCGTGTTCTGCATCACACACCAGCGAGGATACACTTTCCAAGGGTGAAATATCCCTGTCGGTTAGAGCATGGAAGAGCCTGCTATGGGGGGCCGTGCCGAGGGGGCAACATGGCTATCAAGGGCAAATTTTGGCCTTTTGAGCCCTCCTCTGGTTCAGCTTTTCAACACAAAGAGTTTAACCTTTGCAATGAAAGTCAACAATCCTCTCCCTCCTTCCCCAGTGCACAACAGAAAATAACCAGAAGCCTGGAGACACGCTCCACTTCTTGATCTTTCTCCAGGAAAGATTCCTCCACAGAGTGATGTAAAAGCTTGTTTAATTATTCAAAAAGACATCATCTTGAATATGAAATACCCCCACCACAGCTTAGTCAACCAGGGGCACAGCAGTTGCTCGTGACTGGCCACGCAGACCGAGGCGGAGGAAGGAGTATTAATCCTTGTATTGCAATGACATTAAACCTGTAATGAAAACTCCATCTTTCTATACAGGCACATAAGACATATTGTAAATCTTTTAAACATGAAATATGTAAATATGGCTTCTTAAAGCAGCAGCAAGCTTTTTGAACCACTCCAAGCCAGTAGCGGAATTCCTTGTGACACCTTCCACTATTCTCTAAAAAAACATATTATCCAAGAGCTGGAGAGAAATCAAGAGTACAGAAGCAATGATAATCATAGAACCAGAGAATATCCTGAGTTGGAAGGCATCCACAATGATAGGAGATAAGTAAACTGCAGTTTTCATAAACCTAAACCAAAACTGATTCACTTCCACCGCAGTATTCCCTCTGCCCAGACTTACGAAAAATATCTTTTCTAAGCAATGCAAAAGTTCAAATTTTAAAAGGGAAATCTAAAACAAGGCTCTTGTGCTCACAGGAGTATGAAGCACCTTCTTCTTTAACTCCTAGATATATATCAAGACAGAATATTCAACTTCTGTTACTCAGTCTGGTTTTACCAATGGTAAGGGATCTATGCTGACATATGGCATGAGAAAACTTGCTCAATATTGCTACACTTTTGAAAACAAGATGATAAAAGTAGCATCTTACAAAACGTGATTTTGTAATCTCAGAGAATGGAGCAAAGATGGTGTTTAAAAACATGAAAAAAAAGTGGTAATTAACTTGTACTCTGATACAGAGCTCAGGAAAAAAAAAAGAGTATGAAGGATACTAAATATAGCAAATAACCAGCAATTAGTAATTAACCTTTGAGCTGAATATCAGCTATTCAACTCTGTTAAGACTGCAGAGGGATTTAAACTTGATTTCCTGCATTCAGTGGAAGTGCTGTACCACTCAGCCCAGCATACAAAAGAAGGGTCATCCAACTACACAGCCTCTCTGGATTTCCTATTCCCTTTTTCTAATATGTATTTTACACTGCAAGTCTAATGACAAGTCAAATTGTTGGTCAAACTAAAGATTTTTAATCTTATTTTAATTGAAAATGTAAATATTTTGTCCATGACAAATAATTTTTCTGATGGTTTGAATCATCACTGTAGCTCAAGAAAGCCCCAGTTTCTTGCACAACTGTATACAAGTGTTGATATTACTATGAGTTCCACGCGCTTCAAGAAGCTTGCTAATTAAATACAATTCATTCTAAAAAAACAATTACAACTATAATGAAGGAGCATGTCGGAATCGTGACTAAACCAATCATCAGTCAAACCATGTCTAGTAGGTTGAGACACACTGAAAACATTCCACAGACATATTGCTTTCCTGTAAAACTACTGCTGAATTAATGACGTCGCATGGTAACTCAACAAAGAATTGCTCAATTACTTCCTAATTAAAGAGAACACACTGAAGAATATGTGTGCGAAGGAAAAATTGTCAATGCCTTTGCAATCTTCAGCCTCCAACAGATCATAAAGATCCTCAAATGCCATAAACCTTCCCAGTTACAGAGGGAAGGGCAGTCACAGTGTTACCCTCAACCCAGATTTACACATGTACAGCTGAGCACAACCCTTCACTTGTGAGGCTCTGTGAACATTTAATCTTAGGATCAGGAATGGTTTGGGTTGGAAGGGACCTTAAAGATCATCTCGTTCCAACCCCCTGCCATGGGCAGGGACACCTTCCACTAGACCAGGTTGCTCAAAGCTCCATCCAACCTGGCCTGGAACACATCCAGAGATGGAGGCAATTCCCAGCTGCTACAGGTCATGCCAGCAACATAAGCTGCCATAAAACTACATCAATATTTATCCAAAATACATGCATTTGGGCATCCAGCACTTACACAGGGTACATCCAGTGCTCAGGATCCCATGGAACATGGGAATCCTCCAAAGTTTCTCCCTTCAGTTTCATAGGGTAACTCTTTATTTCTCAGGATCACTCTTATTCAGGAGATTCTCAGAAGTCATAAACCCAAGTCCTGGCTTTGGTGTGATGTACCCAACCACAGCGTAGCCTTGAGTTTCTGTGCATTCACCAGGTGTCCAGTTTCCTTTGTTTGATCACTGGGTGTGCTGGTTAAAAATCCTGTTAGTCAGCCCTAAGCAGCTCAAGAATTGAGATGGTTGTATATAATTGACATCACAGATTACAGAGGAGTTTGAATTGAATTGCTTCACTGTTGCTTGATAGCTTCCTTTAAATTAAGGAACTCTTCATATGATCAAAACAGATGCTTACTCATTTGTTTATTTTCTCTTCATTTGCAGGGAACTTAATTCTGAATTCCCTGTGTACTTGAGGTGTTTACTTTTATAGGAAATGGTATTTAAAATGCTTCAATTACCACTTTTCTCTGACAGACTCTAATAAATCAAGAGTCCAAAAGTGTGACTTTAGCTTACAGCCAGACCCCTGCTGCTCCCAGGCAACTCAAAACTCAAGATAATGAAACTTCCCAGGGCACAGAGGATGCTGGTGCAAAGGTCCCACGGTCACCTCCTAAATATCCTCTCTGGACCCCATGCACAGGACACAGTAAGAGCTCAGATAGGTTGGGACAAGCCCTCTAATGTCAGGGGACTCCAGCACTGCCTGGGGGCACACTGCAAACAGCCATGGGACATGTGGTGGCTTTCTTTAACTGCAGGTGGGAGAGACAAGTGATGATGAGAACTCAAATTTCCACCTGGAAGCAAAACTCAACTTCTAGACTGTGACAGCAGAGATAGTTCTGAATGCTTGCAGGGAATAAACTTAACAATGGAAGGGAGTTAGACATAACCCCGTATTTACTATTTTAAAATAATTGCAAGGCACAGTTACACAGTTGTATCTACTGCTTTTCAAAACAACAGGTGACTGGAGCTAAAATCAAGCTTGAGAAACAAGTTATTTCTACCTTCATTACTGAATACCTCGTCTTCATGGTATTTTCCAAACTTTGAGACCTCCTGAGTTTCTGCAGGCAAAAAAGCCCAGACCTGTGTACTTCTGTACTTAATGATGTAGGGTAGGATTAAACAAATCTGCAATAATTTACAACAGATTCTCCCCAAACTGATGCCAAATACATATAACACTTTCCCCAGAACTACATGATCTTAAATTTGTGAATAAACCCCAAATTGTGCAAATAACATAATTTAATGCATACAGTGATGCAGAAGAGGTAAAGCCATAAACTTTACTACTTAGAAAGCAGA